GCCACTTAAGGCTGCACAATTAATCGAAAAATAATTGCAGCAATTAACTAATTGGGAACAGTGTTCATTAAAACATTTTGTTTTTTACTCTTGTTGCAGTTTAATACTCTATTTGCAACATGTTTTCTTTTTGCAACGGCAATGGTTGCAACCACTCACAGACATGTCTACTCTAAGCATGAATAGCCAAGTTTGAAATCATGTATTTGAGTGTTTCTTGCACTATGTATACTTTTGGCCCTATAGAGTTTTAAAAAAAAATGTTTTTTCCTTCCATAATTTCCATCACAAGTCAAAATCATGCGCTAAGTAGCATTCTGTGGTGAAAATTACATTCTTGGAAAAAAAAGGCTGACTCATTTCATAGCTAGCATGCCATTTATCCTATATACACAAACATAACTCATATTACATAAACAATAAAATGTATGTATTATAAAATTTAACTATAAAACCAGCAAAAATAAGACAATACTGTTCAGAATTGTTGTTTTTTTGTAAGAAATCATTTTATTCAGCAAGGATGCACTGAACTGATCAAAAGACTTTTACATTATTAAAAAGATTTATTTTCAAATAAATGTTGATCTTTTGAACTTCTATCCATCAAAGAATCCTGAAAAATGTTAAAGTATTTTACAATTAAAAACATTTAATAATTTTTAGTAATACTATTTCACAAAATTACTGTTTTTACTGTATTTTTAATCAAATAAATGCAGCTTTGGTAGCTTACAGGGACAGGTGTGTAAAACATGGTAAATTATGTTCATCACATAATGAAGGAACATTTGACTTTTGCCAGCGGTGGCCAAAAAAAAAAAAAAAAAAAAAACTCACCAACAATAAACTTGAATGATAGTGTAAAAGTGCTTAAAGTTAAAGAAAACATCCAGGTACTGTACAGTGTAAAGAACTTTGTTTATAACGGGAGCTTGCACTGATAACCATAAACTTAACCACTCAGTCACTAAACAGTGACTTCATGAATACACACACACCTGCTAACTAGACTGAAGGGCAAATGAGATCGGAATAATGTGTGCTATAAAATGAGTACGATGGGAAAATGACAGGACTCCTAGATGTGTGCGTTTTGTGTTTTCTGCACACGTCGCACTGACGAGAAAGGCCAGATTTGGAGTCTCGGAGTAAGTGATGAAGTTTACGACAACAGGGCCGCAATAACAAAACACTGCAGGAAAAGGGCAGGAACACTGATGCAATTACATGTGGCAGGTAGCAGTTAGCTGCCCGAGTGGCTGCCTGATCAAAAACACTGACTATTGCAGCAAGCAGAGCTTTCATGCCTCAAGTAAGAAAGTCTGTACTTCTTTGGCTCTGGTCTATCCTGTGCTAATTTTTATGATAACACCGATTAGCTGCAGGGCAAGAATGGCTGCTCTGAGGCTCAGCATCTGTGGACAAGAGAGAGCAATCACACTGGTTGACTGGACAGGAAGCGGTATTAGCTGAAGAGACACCTGAGGCCTCCTGAAAGAGCCACGTTTATACACATTCAGACCAGTTGGGAGACTGCCAGAGCCTGCTCAACCCACATACACAAACTCACTCATTTACACGCTCTCTACCTCATGAACCTCTCTCCCTTTCTATCTAAAACAGAACACACTCCTCCACCTGTGGCTCAGCCACTCATCCTGGAGTGCAAGCAGAAAGACGGAGAGTGAGAGAGAGAGAGAGAGAGAGAGAGAAAGAAAGAGAGAGAGATTGGTCCTACAATAAGGGCCTGCATGCTCTGGCGTGAAGGAGTCAGTCCTTGCAGGAGGCCACTGCTGGTGTTTGATTGATGATGAAAGGATGAGAAAATAAATAGATAGAGAGAGTAGATACAAATATGTGAGGAAGCACCCACAGGACACTTTAGAAATGCGTCTGGGCAATATAGCTTAAAAAAAAACCACACAATATATTTGTGATTTAGTTTTTTTTCCAATAGCCAAAATGTATGTTTTTTTGCTCTGAAATGGCTTAAAATTGTGTTTTTTCATTTCCCATTATGACAACAAAATAGCCATTGTCCAAAACAGATTCAAAATGTACAGAAAATTCACTTACAAATATGCAAGGTTTTCAACTAAACAGAAGAATGGCAAATAACAATGTATTAAAATACAACAACAAAATTCGGGGTCAGTACGATTTTTTTTTACTGTTTTTGAAAAGTCTTTTATAATCACCAAGGCTGCTTTTACTTTATTTTTATTCAAATAAATAAATAAATAGTAATGTTATGAAATATTGCAATATTGAAATATTAAAAATAACTGTTTTCTATTTGAATACATTTAAAAATGTAATTTATTCCCGTGGTGACAAAGTTGAATTTTCAGCAGCCATTACTCCAGTGTCACATGACCCTTCAGAAACCATTCTAACGTTCTGATTTGCTGCTCAAGAAACAATTATTATTATTAATGTTGCAAACAGTTGTGCTGCCTTTGAAGAATCTCAAACAAAGTAAAGAAATACAATGCAGAACATTGATACACTGGGTAGCTGAATGAGGTGTACTTGGACCCAAAGAGAGAAGAAACCTTCTTCAGTTACACTCAGAGACGCATAACATTACAATGGAGAAACTATGCAATCGAGATAAGACAGAGGTAGACTAAAACAAAGAAGAAAGTCTTATGTCTTAAGTCTTAAGGATATAATCAGAGAGGCAAGCGAGTTAAGCAGAGGGCTGAAACTCTGTCTCTGACTTGAATTCATCCAATGTATAAATAAGTCTGACACGGACTGCCTGGACAGTGTGCAGTGCCCCCTGTTGAGCAAAGACAGCAGTGACATGTCAGTAAACCCTTAAGAGAAGTGTCTCATTAAGTTGAAACGGAAGCACTTTGGTTCTGAATGACTGTGTCATGAGACATCTAATGGAATCTACATTAACTTGAAAAGGTTTATTAGAGACCTGCTCTAGAAACTTAAACACTGAGATTTGTTTTAAATTAAAGTGAAGGACAGCAGTCCTTCAAGAGAGTTAAAAAAAAGAGACAAAGAAAAGAGAAAAAAACCGAATGAAACTAAACCAAGCAGAATCAGATGAGCTTCAGTGGCTGTCCTTTAAAAATCCTGATTTATTCAATTCTACTGAGGATTATGCTTTAAACAGATACAAAAAATGCAGGTATCACCAATTATCACACAAACTTGTCAAATGCATCTCCTAATATTCATACTCCAGTTCTTAGCTTACCTCCGAAAGCACTTTCACATGACTCACATCAACGTTCCTCAATGGACTGAATTCTATGGATTGAAGTGTCAAGCTAGAGCATTAAAGTGCTGTTTAAAGTTGAAATAATACCAACTTTGAGCCACTGACCTTTCGAGGCACAGGCCTTACTTACTGATCGGTGAGATTTGATAGTTTCCTTTTGGGGGATTATTGATATTTTAAAGCCAAAAGTCAATATATACAGTACTGGCCGGTCTTAGACGTCAGTCTACATTTTGTGAGAGTCACTTTAAAATTTTCACATTAAAAGTCTCCAGAACAGTGGAAAACTACTTTTAATTTAAAAATAGGCACAACTGCAGAAAACTATTTTCTTGCTGTTTAACAAACATAGGCCCAAATGTAAGCCCTGTTATGATCCATTACAGAAATCATCCATGTTTATGCGCAACTCTTTAAAAAAAATAAAATAAATAAATATATATATATATATATATATATATATATATATATACACACAGGTG